CCCCTCAAGCCCCTCCTCCCTCTAAGCCCGCCCTCATAACCCTCCTTCCCCTCCCCTCCCCTCCCTGTCCTAATCTCTCCTTTCCCTACCCTAAACCCTCCTCCTTCCCTAAAGGTCCTTCCTACCACCCCCTCTCCTCCCTCCCACCCCCCCACTGGGCCCTGCAGGGGGGTTGCCTTCTCCTGGCTTGCCTCCACCCCTCACTGGGCTTCCCCCAACCCCCCACAGATGCTGCTGTTTTCCGTAGTCTTCCCCTACATCCTCCTCAGCTGCTTCTTCATCCAGGGCCTCTTCTTGGAGGGAGGGGCAGCGGGCCTCAGGGACTTGAGGACTGTGAAGGTGAGGCTGTGCCTGCCCTGCCCGCGCCCAGCTCAGCCCCGCCTGGCCCGCCCTGACCTCCGCTGCCCTCCCTGTCCGCAGCTGTCCGCCTGGGCGTCCCTGGACCTGTGGCGTCAGGCAGGAAGCCATGTGCTCTATTCCCTGGGCCTGGGCACAGGCACCATCATCAACCTGTCCTGCAAGGCTGGGGGTGGCGGCAGCGCCCAGGATGCCTCTCTGGTGGTCCTGGCCAGCCTCATCACGTCACTGCTGGCCACGGCCGTCATCTTTACAGTGCTGGGTTTCTGGGTCACTACCAGCGGCCCCACCTGTGTGCAGAGGTGAGTGATGGCTGCCTACCGGCGAGGAAGAGTCACCTGCTCTTTAAGGCCCCTGAAGAGCAGCGGGCACAGAGCTTTCCTGAGCTGGGTCCAGAGCGGGAGCCCTGGTGAGCACAGCGCCGTGGCGGTGTCGCGCGGGGTCAGAGCCCAGCCGGGGTACAGTGGGCGGGGATGGGAGACTCTACACAGGTAAGCCGCAGCTGTGCTTTCCGTGGCTGTGCAGGCTGACAGACGGGTGTTGGGGTGCGGAAGCGCCCCCACACCCAAATGGGCGGCTTCCCCGGGGCTCCTCACTGTGCTCCCAGGAGCTGCGGGAAGGCCTGGCGCACGCGACAGCCTCAGGCTCGCCCGAGTCCTCCGGGGTCACAGGAAGCTCAGCCCAGCGCAGCGGGGATGATGAGGCGGCCAGGAGTAGGTGCAGACGGGCTGGGCCGTGGCTCAGGCCAGGGGGCTGCCTGGCCCCCCGTTAAGGCAGAGAAAAAAGCACAAAACTCGCCACGCAGCCCCCAGGCCTTCAGAAAACCATTTAGTCCCCATCCTTGCTGCCTGCTGGAATCAAAAGGCTCAAATGTATTGACTAAACGAAACAAAAAACTTTGTCGGACCTCAGTGAATAATGTCCAGAATGTAACGAAGCCTCTCAAAACATTCCTCAAACTAGGAAAATGTAAGCCATTGCCAGGGAGAGCGCCCAGAACACCCGTTACCAGAATTAGCAGGTAGGAACTTGCCAGAAGTCATTATGAACATGCTAAGAAACTTCACGAAAAGATGAGTCTGGCCTGTACCCCAGCTCTTGTATGCATAAGTAAACTAAAAAAAAAAAAAGATGAATAAAATGTGTGAATATAGTGGTATATTAGAAAGGACTTAGAAACCGAGAAGGAGCCCCGTGAAGATTCTAGACCTTCAGTGTCGTTAAGCCAGTCTCACGGGTGGTGTTCAGGAAGCCTGGGGGCTGCGGGCCGGGGCCAGCTCACCTGAGCACACGCCCTGGGCACGGGCGCTCCCAGACCACCTGTCTCCGTGGGGCACACTGACAGCGGGGGATTCCCCAGCTTTCATCAACATGTCAGCCCACAGGTCCCAGAAGCCCGGAAAATCCTAACGCCTCACGTACAGAGGAAATCGTGCTTTGGGACGTCATAGGCAAATTTCTGGGGCCAAAAATGAACAGAAACGTTCGCATGAGCAGGCTGTAAAGCACCGCCCGGGCGCGCCGGCTGCCTCCCACAGCCAAGGCGGGCAGGGCCGGCCTCCGGGCTGACCCGGCCTC